GGGGGGGGGAGGTGGGAGCACTTTATACAGAGAACAAAGGTAAGAGACCACTGAATTCACATCAGAAACAATGCACACAAGATGACAATGGATACACAACTTTTAAGTACATAAAGAAAAAAACTGTCTACCTAGAATTCTGTATCCAACAAAAATAGCCTTCATAAATGAAGGCCATGTGGAGAAACTGGAACCTTAACACACCACAGGTGGGAGTATCACCTAGTGCAATCTGGCAATTCTTCAAAAAGTTAAACAGCATTACCATAGGACCCACAATTCCACCCCTAAGAGAACTGAAAAACCTATGTCCTCACAAAAACTTGGTACGTGAATGTACACAGAAGCATTATTCAGAAGAGCCCAAAAGTAGAAACAATCCAAATGCCATCAAGTAACAAAATATGGTATGTCCATACAATGGAATGTTATTTGGCAATAAAAAGGAATGAAATACTGATACACGTGGCAATATGGTTGAACTTTGAAAACACTGTGAACTAAGTAAAAGAAGTCAGATACGAAGGATCACATTGTAGTATATCATTTATAAGAAACGTCCAGCATAGACAATTCTATAGAGACAAGAAACAGTGATTGCCAGGAGGGGAGTGGTTTGAGGAGAAACAAGGTGTGATCAGTATGGATACAGGGCTCCTCTTGGAGTAATGAAAATGTTCTAAAATTGATTGTGGTGATGGTGGCCAAACTCTACAGACCTAAGTCAAACCATTAAATTGTACACTTTAAATGTAGGAGTTGTATCTCAATGAAGCTATTATTGGGGAAAAAAAAAAAACAACATTTTTAAAATGAAGGTGAAATACATTTCCTCATTTTCAAATGAGAGCTAAGAGAATTGGTCACTAGCAGGCCTGCTGTACAAGAAATGCTCTACATGGTATTGTCTTCCTTTTTTTATTTTAAAGGAGCACTTATGATTCCAGAATCTGCAAGAAAAATATTAAAAAAGAGACATTCAATGTTTTCCGAGGATATGCAGGGAAAAACCGGCAGAAAACAACTTTTTAGGGAGTAAGAATTAGACAGCTGTTTCTTCTCAGAAGAAAAAAAGAGACAGAGAAGATGCTCTGAAGTGGACTTCTGAGTTAAGTACCTGACGTTTTAGAAATCCAGACCTCAAACACCCTCCACACAAACTTGTGACCTTCATTCATTTCTATCAATTTAGAAGTGAATAAGACATGGTACCTGCCCTTAAATGTACTCAAGTCAGCCACAGTGACTTCTGCGGGGTTCAGACTTTTTTTTTGGTGGGGGGGTTTATGACAACATTTTAAAGCAAGATGCAAAAATGTTTGTAAAGTGATGTCAACTGTGCAAAAAGAACCTGCTCACAGAACAAACAGCTCCATGGAAATGGGCACATTAAGTTAATGAAATGACAGTTTACTTCTTCCTTTCTTTCCCGTATTTTCAGTTTTTCTTTAGTTTCCACTTACTCGTTTAAATTCAGTTGAGAAGAATTTTTTTTTTTTTTTGGCACTAGTATCCAAATCACACATGAAAAGTGGTTCTGAAAGACTGTTTTGAACATATAAAATGCTGTGCTGAGTACAGTGGTGACATCAGTGAACAGTGACAAAGGTCTAGCTCACAATGGGTTTAGAATCTAACAGGACTGACAGTGTCTCTATGTAGGCACTAACTAAAAAACTCCGAACAAGTGCTATGGGCGTGAGAGGAGAAAAAGAATAAGGAGAAGGCAGAAATTGAAAACTTTATGTAGAGTCCTTTCATCATGAAAACTGTAGAAACTTTTCTATACAACAGCCAAGATAAACCTGAGTATTACAACATCCATGTTAAGAGACGTAAGACAATTTTTAAAATGGGCAAAATATTGGAACAGACACTTCACTGAAGATGATACACTGATGGCAAATAATCATTAGCCATCAGGGAAATGCAGATTAAAAGCACTAGGAAATTTCATTACACACCTATGATAATGGCTAGCATTAAAATGACTAACCATACCAAGTGTTGGTGATGATGTGGAAGAACCAGAACTCTCATACCCTGCTGGCAGGAATATAAAATGACAGGAGCACTTTGGAAAATAGTTCGGTAGTTTTTTTTCAACATACACCCACCATATGATCTAGCTATTCCATTTCTAGATTTAGCCAAGAGAAATGAAAGTTCATGACTATGAAGAGACTTGTACACATTCATAATGCCCTTAGAAGCTTTAGTTGTAACAGCCAAAAGTTGGGATCAACTCAAATACACATCAACAGGTGAACAGACAAATTGTGGAACACCTTACGGTGAAACACTTCTCACCAATAAAAAGGAATGAACTATTGACACATGCAACAACATGAATGAATCTCAAAATAATTATGCTGGGTAGAAAAGGAGACCAAAAAAAGATTATATGCTGTCTGACTCCATTAATACAAAGTTCAAGAACAGAGAATACCTAACCATGGAGATGGAAGTACTTCTCTAGGAGGAAAAACAAGATAGTGCTGGAAAGAAGCTCAAGGGAGACTTCTAGGTGCTGCTAGTCTTCTACTTCCCGACCTGAGTGCTGGTTATGTGACTGTACGTGTACGTAAAAATTCATCAAGGTACATACTTTTGACCGGGGCACTTTGTGTCTGCTATCCCTCAATAAAAACGTAAAACCTTATTAAAGCAAGAGAGGAAGAAGAGAGGAGGCAAGCCAAGACAGAGAAATGCATGTACCCCAAGAGCTGCAGTTACACAGAGAGAAGGGCTGCGGGGGAGAGGCCAAGTCCCTGCAGCTCAGGCTCTCGCCACCTCTGTCACCAAGCACTCATGCCACTGTCTGTGAATCCCACGATTCTAGTCTCAATAAATGACATGCCGAATCATTTATCTCCTCAAGCAGCAGAATCATTTATCCCCATAAGGAGCTCACTGATTACATTACTCCCCTGCTCAAAACTCCTCTCCAAGCTCCTCCCCTGCCTATGACTTAAATCCCAACTCCTCACAGCCTGGACAGATGCCCTTCAGGCTCTGGTCTCCAAAACCAGTTTCTCTTTCACTTCCTATCCTCTGCTCCCCACCAAACTGGGATGCTGAGCCCTACCCTCAAGGCTGTTTCATATTCCCAATTCCATGCCACCGTCTGACATGAGGTGACCTAAACTCTACACATCTCTGCCTTTAGAAATACACGTCATCCTGTACGGACCAGCTCTGGTGCTACCTCCTTCACCCGACCTGAACTCCCTCCCTCATCCCTCCCTCCCACACTCCCCCGAGCATGAGGAAAGTGTCTCTGGCCACTTCGCCATCCAGTGATCTGGGTGTGTCTCTTCCTACCCTATCCCTGGCATGAGTCACCAATGTATCCTACTGAGTAGGTGCTCAACTACATATCCTTGGGACAGACAAATGAGCAAGGGAAAGGAAGACATGGAAGGAAAAGACAATTCGATGGCTGAGAGTAAGAAACTTCCAGCTTCAGCTGTGAGTTTGCTTCCGAAGTGGACATCATTTTCCTTCCCAAGCACACCCAGCATCCTTCGGATATGGCATGATGTGCTTGTTCATCTGTCATCCTGACCCATTTTCGGAAAGAGGTCAACCCCCTAACCTTCTCTCTCCCTCTCCAGCCCCGCCCCTTACCTCCACCTCCCACAGGGCTTTTGAACTCGTGGCAGATGTGGCTGACTGCCGGCCGGTAGTTCTCAGGAAGACATGCTGTTTCTTCCTGTGCTCGTCGCAGGTAAGGAACTTCTCCTGCTCCGCATGGAACAGCCTGACCACGTCACCCTAAAACATCAGCACATGGAGGGTTTAAGGACAATGAATTTTACAAGAGGACTTAGCTGCTGCCCCATGTAGAGCCAAGTGCTGCCAGCCTGAGAAGTAGCAAACTCACCCCCTTCAGTATGTCATCTTTGTTGTCACTCCATTTCATGAAAAGGACGATTTTCCAGCTGGTATTGCAGTTGACAGAATTGACCTGGAAAACAAATGACAGTTATTTTTTCACACATCCCTCCCCATGACTGTGTCTTCCAGCCCCCAAAACTCCTCATCACTGCCCAAGAAGCAGGGCTGGGCTTCCGCCCCAAAATCCTACCAGTTCACAGCCATAAGTTCACAGGAACCGCAAATTTAACTGGCCTGGCAGATGTGTTTGGTAATCAAGGGTGCATTTGTGCCCATCACCATGTATGCTCGAAATGACTAAGGGAACCTTACTTCCAGCCTTTCTTCTCCAAGTCTCCTGTTCTGCAGCCAGAAGGTACAAGTTCAGTAAAAACAAGGGCTGATAAACAAAGGTACAAAGATTCCCATGAATACACTCTAAAATGTGAATGAGCTAGTGACGCTCAATAAAAGCTACTGCTTGTACACTAAGTATACGCCAGGCCCTGGGCTAAGCGCTAGTATTCATGACTACGTTTAGTCCTCAGCAACACCCTAAAAAAACAGTCAGGACCATCACACCTATTTCAGACAGGAAAACTAGTGCACAGGGAGATTAGGAGATGTACGGTAACTAGCCTAGAAACGCGAAACTAGGGGATGGAAGATTTGGGATTTTGTTCCACATCTATCTGACTCCAGAGCTTGTGTCCCCAAGCTGTAGACAAATATTTATGTCACAGTCAATTTACTGCCCTTTGGTCCTGTAATTGCCAAATTTGAGGCCAAGGAGATATATTGCCAAAATCAACATATCCCCGTTGCTAGGCCGCCAATGGCCTGTAGTATACTCATCTTAGTAATCAGCCAAAGACATTCTCCCAAGGGAAACAAACTGGAAAAAGGAGCTCCTCTGGCCAGAAAAATTTGGTAGAAAAGGCCCTTCTCTGGCTTAACAAATTAGGCAACAATCTCCCAGTTATAGGAGGCTTAGTAGACTGAGCCCTAGGGTAGCTATCAGCCCTCACCCAACCCCACATGGCAACCCTGATCCTGGGTCTTGGTTACTCACCTGCAGAACAGGTATGCTGCCCCAAGTCACTAATAAGGTCACTTTCAGCATGCACATGCTCTGCCCTCAAGAAGGCCTGCTCCTGCAGCCTCTGCCTGCCCACAAGCCATCACAAGGTTTCCCTTACCTCGTTGCAGCCAGGGTTATCCACCAGCTGATGGCTGCTAGCATGAAGGGGCTGGCCAGCGTTGACGGGGTTCAGTACAACCTTGTCACCAATGACCACCTGGAAAGGAAGAGGCCAACGGAGCTTTTCACAAAACAGGTCAGAAGTCCCTGGTGGAGGGCAGGTGGGCATCCTTAGACCACCCCCTTGGATATGGCACATCCTCAGCCAGCACAGCCAAACCCTTCATAGTACTGGCCAGCCAGTGATGTCCCATGATCCCTGTCCAATCCCTGGAGAAATGCTAAGACCAGCATGGGACACCACTGCCAACTGTCAATATCCCCCTTTTCCTATGTTAACAGAGATCTATAAGTAAGCGCTGAGTATTAGGAGTAGAAGCAGAACAATGCCTGAAGGAAGTCTATTTTTAAACAAATAAAACTATAATCTTCTATATCTAAAGCAATGACTTTCATACTTTTTTGGTACAAACCACAGGAAGAAATACATCTCTATTATATTCCAGTCATTCCTACTTATGTGCACATACATGTGTGTGTATATATATATGTGTGTGTGTACATATGTAGATATACATATCTATATTTATCTAAAACAGAAGTTACCTCCCTAAAACAATACTTATCCTCATTATGTTTAGGACAGCCTGATACTATCTATTCTACTCCACTTTCTAAAATGGTAGTCACAAGCCACTAAACTGATCTGAGTCCACAAATAGATCAACACTTGTTTGTAAAACACTATCCTACAAAGGATAACCAACCTTTCAACTCCATCTTACCTTCTCAACTAAGGTACAGCTGAACAGGTAAGTTTAAAGAATAAGAAAGCCAAGGATTTCCCAAAAATGAAATTCAGGACAAAACACCTTGCTCTTTTATTATGAGGGCAGAAGGAAGGAGAACAGAAATGATGGCTTCCTAAGAGGTAAAACCCATCTATTTTCAGTTTGTTACATTTGGGAAGGATATACAATTAAATTTTCCCTAACTCCACTTGGAGTACCTCATAAATATATATTAAGTACCTCAAAAAAATCCAAAACTTACGATGAAAACTAAGCTTTACTGGACTTGTCCTTCTCTTCTCAGTTGAGGATCAATATTTACTGCATACCAACTGGGAAGGAATGGTCTGCTTCTACCTGCTTCTGGGATACAGCATATAAATGAATACTACACTGCCCAAAGCTTGTAAACTTAAATAACAATACTGAAAATGGCAAAACTCAGTTTGAGGTTAAGGCTAGCTGAGCATTTTGACAAGATTTCAAGCTGTTTAAGGAACACATTTCGTTTTAGTAAAAAAACTTCTATTTCCGAATCTTAACAAGGTCAGAAAAATGGCTTAATAGCATTTAAACATACTTGTTGTCAAGTATATGCCCACATAATGACATACTAATGTAGCTGACAATTATCAGAACTGCTCTAAGTCACACGGACAAGTATCTCAGTGGCTTTATATCCTAGGGACCCTGAGGAGAGAAGCCTACTCAGGACGAATTGCAGTCACTGAAATGGGATGGAGAGCCTGTTGGCTTATCGATAAAGGAACAAGTGAAGAATAATCCTAAAATCCATTCTCCTTCCCTGTTGTCTCTAGTTCTCTTCTCTTCTCCTTCTTTACTAACTTTATTTCCAAAATAGAGAGGCGTTTCCATTCCACTAATGATCTAGAATGACAGGGACACTGCCCGGGACATTAATATATGATAGCTGTTTTCATGGTGAAGTTACTGAGGTAATGAGCTATTCATACCATTTTTTCAGAAACTCAGTAGGAAAAACACAGCTACTGTATTTAGGTCACACTTCTCTCCAAATTTCCCTGTTTCCCAAACATTGGTTTCCATAGTGACTCCCTTCTCTTCACACAGGATGAGCCTCTGGTTCCAACTATAACATTCTCCCAGTTGACTTCTATATACAGTTAGGGTTGGAGGCGTGGCATGGGGCACTCCCCAGGCTGTGAGTCTGCACTTACACTGTCTCCGATGGAGCGCAGCTTGTAGAATGGCTGAATATAAAACCAGGACCCTTCATTTCCCGCCTCGTCCAAAGTCACTCTCATGGCGTTCTTCTCCAGCAGAGCTGGAAGCCTCTTATTCACAGTTAGGTATTTATTACTTTTCAAATGCAGGAGCTGAAAACCCACAGAGAGAATAAGGGGAGTGTCAGCAGGTCTCTGAATCTCTAAGATGTCTCTCTCAGTCACATAATATGTATCAAACATTCCTTCCACCCCTGAGCTAACTGTGAAGTTAGAGAGTCATTGAAGTGCCTGAGGCAGGGAATAATTAGAAAATAAGAAAGAGCAAAGGGAGAAGTAGAGGGAAGAAGAAATATTTTATTTTATCCCCCCAACATGGCCATGGACAAGATGGATGCTGTTCATGTCAAGCACACCGTCAGCAAGGAACAGCACTCTGCCATCTCTTAACAGGTAGGAGCCTAATCCCATGTAAAGGAGCTGAGGAACTGCAATCTGAATATCCCTGACCCTAACATGGAGCTAAAGAAAGGCACTTCTGAGCACAAGAAATAGTTGAAGAGATGACCCTATAAGGGGTAGTCATTTTATGTGGAATAACATGGCTACTATAAATTTCCACCGTCAAGTGCTAAGCACTTTATTCTTGATTCTTGGGAGAACCAAACAACTAAATGGGAAACAACCTGTCTCATAGTAGGTCTATAGCAGGAAGCATTGATTAATGCTTCCCAAATTAACAGGCTATAAGAGAAGATGGAAGGGTAGATTATAGATAGCTCAAATCCTGGAGAAATATTAAGACCAGCATGGAACTTCATTGCCAACCGCCAATATCCCTTTTACACATGTTAATAGATACACTTTCTAGAACATTCCTAGGAGGTCCACACTCTTCTATCAATGTTGTTAGAGTCATGAGTCTGACTTGTGAGTCCCTGGCATCCCTAGGCCATTATACACAAGGGGAAGGCAATGCCCTCTTAAGTCTTCATTGTTATCCTGGTGAGTGGCCCCCGATCCTCCACATACCTGTCCAAGTGCTGAACTGAATTGGTTTATAAACTGACATTACGTAGAGATGGATCCCAAGATCCAGGCTTCGAAGAAGTAATAATATCAGCTAAAATGTATTCAGAGCTTACTCTGGGACAGGTATCCCTCAATCATTATAGGAAACAAATATCATTATTATTCCCATTTTGCTAGTGAGCAAACTGAGGCCTGGGAACATTTCTTGCCCAAAATCTCATATTCATTAAGTCACAAAATCTGAATTGGAATACACTTAAGGGTTTACAGTCTTAGCCCCTGTACCTACCTTCCGTCTTCAGTTCAAGCCATACTCTCTGATCTAACCACATGAGGGAGTCCTGAGTTTGAAAGCACTGGTCTGGCCCAGTAATAAAGCTGATACTGAACTCTGGGCCCACCTGGCCCCTTGTGTCCTTTTTCAGTTGGACAGAACTTGAAAGGAATTTGGAGTGGGACTGGAAGGACCTATCTTCAAACAGATTTGAAAGCTACTTTAATATTCCAAAAGGCCAAATCATAATAACCCATTTAAACATAAAGGGTTGCTATTACCAATGTGGCAATTCTACTTTTTCCATGATCTAGATTATCACTGCTCTCTATCTAACACAAATAACAATGGGAAGGAATTCCTTTGGAACCAGTCAAGTTTAAATGGCAAGTGCTATCTTTCAGAAAGGGAAATAATGAAGCAAGATAACCAGATGGGTCAGGTCTTCAAAAGTTGGTCACTATTACCCTTTGTGTCTGTATCAAAATGATCCAGCAACTAGATAAACAGAAAAAGGCTACAGAGGTACCTGGGTGGCTCAGCCAGTAAAGCCTTGGATTTGGTTTTGGCTCAGGTCACAATCTCAGGGTCACTAGTCAGAGCCTCTGGTTGGGTTCTGAACTCAGTGGGGAGTCTGCTTGAGATTCTTTCCCCTCCTGTCCTTCCCCCTCTGCTCCTCCACCCCACACCCACCCCCATTTGTGCAGGCACTAGCTCTCTAAAATAAATATATAAATAAAATCTTAAAAAAAAAAGAAAAAAGAAAAAGGCTACATTTGGCACTGGACCTTCTCACACACTATTTTCTGCAAGGATAGACCCAGATAGATTTTTCTTAGCAAACCCCGCAGTAGCTATTTCCTAAAGTGTGTTTTATCCCCATGCCAACTTTAAAGCCACAAGGGATCAACAAGTAAACCCCACAACCCGTGAGACAAGATATGAGACCCATCATCAAATATTCTACCTGGAGGTACTGAATTGCTCTTACTGCCCCTGTGACCAGCTCTTGAACCAACAGATAAAAGTTACAGGGAAGCCAATTTTTACCAAATAGAACTTTCAAGGAAAGCAAGTGAAACAAAAGTGCAGCAGCCAGGCTCATTTCCAGATAGGGAACTTCTCACTTAAAATATCTGCACAGAACTTACATTACCAACTACAGGGCAGAGTAATGGCTTCTCGTGCTGAGAGTGGGCCAACTCAAAAGCCCAAGAATCCAACCCATATAAGAAGAAATGCTAGACGTTTTGCACCAGACTGGCTGTCTCCATGGGAGTCCTGCTGGAAAGCTGTCCAAACCCAATCTCATGTGTTTATTTTTTAGTTTTGTTCTTTGTAACACTCCAGCTCCAGAAGAGAAGGGCGGCCATGACCTACCTGGATCACGTTGCCATACTGGATTACGGTCCCCAGCAATTTCCTGTTTTCTGTCTCATTCTGCTTCTTTTCCAAGTCTGCAGCATGCTGTACATGGAGAAGAAATACTGTTCACAGAGAGGAAACAATGGCTTATATTTCTCCACAGTGATGCAAAACCAATGTCACCAGTTCATACAAGAGCCACAGAAATAAGCAAATACCTAAGCAAAATGAGCAAGGGGTTCAGGAAGCCATCCCACTCTGCCCTTGTTTTTGTTGGCCTTCTTGGCTTTTTTTAAATATATTTTTTTTCTTTCAGGCATTCATGGACATCTGCTTAGGTTAAGACGACGTCAAAAGCTTGTGTATTTTTGAAGAAAATAGGGTAGGGGTGGGAGAGAATTTGCATAGCCTTTTATGATTTGTAAAAGTCCTCTTTTAAGTTGGAGTAAAATAAAATTGAATTTAAATGCTGGTTTCAAGTGATTTCTGGTTCTGCATCCTGGAATATTCATGAGCCTCAGTTTCTACTTTTGTAATATGAGGATAAAAATAGCACCTACACGCTCATGTATCACAGCGCCTGGTCACTGCAGCATTTATGGAATGCTGGTTATTATTGCTAGACACTACGGTAATTTATTTAATTTTTATGGTAGTTCCCTGAGGAGAAGATCATTATCACCATTTTTTTTAAGATTTTTTATTTAGTTATTTAACAGAGAGAGACACAGCGAGAGAGGGAACACAAGCAGGGGGAGTGGGAGAGGGAGAAGCTGGCTTCCTGCCAAGCAGGGAGCCCAATGCAAGGCTCGATCCCAGGACCCTGGGATCATGACCTGAGCTGAAGGCAGATGCTTAATGACTGAACCACCCAGGTGCCCCCATTATCACCATTTTAAGAAGAAAAAACAGAGATTAAAAGGTTTATTTGACATTGCAATTAGTTGGGATAGTGGGTACACAAGGGGTTTGTTATACTATTTACTTCTGTGTACATTTGAAATTTTGCTTAATAATGTCTTATTTTGAGGCACCTGAGTGGCTTAGTTGGTTAAGTGTCTGCCTTCGGCTCAGGTCATGATCCCAGAGTCCCCTGCGTTGGGCTCCCTGCTCAGTAGGGAGTTTGCTTCTCCTTCTCCCTCTCCCGCTCCCCCAGCTTGTTCTCTCTCTCTGTGTCAAATAAATAAATAAAATCTTTAAAAAAATAATGTCTTCTTTTAAAAATCACATATCTGTATTGTGGTATGTGTCCACACACACGCACACACACACAATGGAGTATTACTTAGCCATTAAAAAGAATGAAATCTTGCCATTTGTGACAATATGGATGAACCTAGAGGGTATTATGCTAGGTGAAATGAGTCAGACAAAGACAAATACCTCATGATTTCACTTACATGTGGAACCTAAAAAACAAAGCAAATCAACAAACAAGGGGCGTCTGGGTGATTCCGTTAGCTAAGCATCCAAACTCTTGATTTCAGCTCAGGTCACGATCTCAGGGTCATGAGTTCAAGCCCCACATTAAAAAAAAGAAATGAACAAACAAAAAAGCAGAAACAGACCAATATATAATGACAACAAACTGGCAGGTGCTAGAAGGGAGGGGGTAGGAGATGGGCAAAATGGGTGAAGAGGAGTGGGAGGTACAGGGCTCCAGTTATGGAATAAATAAGTCATGGGGATGAAAGGCACAAGATAGGGAATACAGTCAATGATACTGTAATAGTGTTGTATGGTGACAGATGGTAGCTACACTTGTGAGCAGAGTGTAACCCATAAACGTGTCAAGTCACTATGTTTTACACCTGAAACATAACACTGTGTGCCAACTATGCTTCAATTAAAAAATAAATAAATAAAATATAATGATGTTGGATATTTTTTAAAAAACCACACATCTATTAAGTAGCAGAGATAATCCTCAAACCCACATTTGGGTTAACTGCAAATCTATAGGTACAAATGGGGCCAGGAGACATTACTAGTCCAAATTTGGCATGCTTGGGAACCTGGTAAAACTGAAGAGAGGGTTCCAGAATAGTCTGCCAGGGCCATCAACTGGAACAGGCATTTTTATTCATTTACTTGTACACCTCAGAAAGTATTGTTATCATATTATAACAAAGCTGAAGGGGAATCAGCTTTGTCCTAGGCAATAAAGAAACTCTTGTTCCAAGCCCTGTCCCCCAAACCTAGACTGGGTCAAACAGAAGTAAATTAGCAGGGAAGAAAATCCGTATCTAATCTGATGGATAATAAAACCCTGGTGACCAGCCATACATTTCAGAAGAGCTTCCACTGTTCTCTTCCCGGAGTTTCCCTCTCCTTGAGGCCAGATGCCCCCCAGATGCCAATGGGCTAACAGGCCTCTTTCCCAAGAACAGTCTGCATTTTCACAGGACCTCCTGGGTTTGGGCCTGGCTCCACCACACACCAGCTCTACCATCTTGGCCAGGTTACTTAATTTCCCCAAGCCCCACTCAATATTCTCAATCACAAAATGGGGACAATGCAAGGGAGATCAGAGAAAATGCGTGCCTGATACATAACAGGCATTCAATAAATTCTAACATTATTACACATACATTTCTAAAATTAAGAAATGTTCTAACACTCTGATGATGAGAATTTCAACTGGTGGACTAAGTTGGGTGGGGGAGGAATCTTTCCATTTCCTTTAAATCCAGCATATGCTCCATCTCTACCTTCAGTGTAAGTATTTTTAGGAAGGTACATCTTTTGACAAAAATAAGCTGCAGAACCCCAATGTTTATAGCAGCAATGTCCACAATAGCCAAACTATGGAAAGAGCCTAGATGTCCATCAACAGATGAATGGATAAAGAAGATGTGGTACATATATACAATGGAATATTATGCAGCCATCAAAAATTTGAAAACTTGCCATTTGCAACGACGTGGATGGAACTAGAGGGTATTATGCTAAGTGAACTAAGTCAATCAGAGAAAGACAATTATCGTATGATCTCACTGATATGTGGAATTTGACAAACAAGGCAGAGGATCACAGGGGAAGGGAGGGAAAAATGAAAAAGATGAGACCAGAGAGGGAGATATACCATAAGAGACTCTTAGTCTCAGGAAACAAGCTGGAGTGGAGGGGGGTGGGGGGGTTGGGGTGGCTGGGTGATGGACATTGGGGAGGGTATGTGCTAGGGTGAGCGCTGTGAATTGTGTAAGACTGATGAATCACAGACCTGTACCGCTGAAACAAATAATACATTATATGTTAATTAAAAAAAAAAGACCTCAAAAAAAAAAAAAAAAAGCTGCAGAAAGCAATCCTAAACCAAAAAGAAACCACATTACAAGAGGGAATGATCTGCCTATGTTAGTGCAGATTACTGTAAGTTTCTCACATCTGTCTCAACCCTGTAAAACAATGGTCTATTCAGAGGCTTTCCTCCCCTCTCTCTCCCGGAATTAGTTACCAGTCTGCTTCTCTCAGTTACCCAAGGATAAAAACCCCTGGGTTCAAGACACATCCAGAAATAATACCAGCACAGACAACATGCCAATCCTAGGCATCCGAACTGCCCTCAGCACCGTTCCTAGGTCGCTCTTCCCCTCCAACCACACCCTCCCTACATTTCTTCCCACCTTCTGTTCTTCCTAGTTTCATGCCTGTGCTGCACCCCTCCAGAGATCTCCAGAGCACCGCACAGGTTCTATAGGTAGTCTCCCAAACACAGCACTGGACAATCTACTTGGAAGGAGGGTTTAGACTTCTTAAAGAGGTATTTGTTCTTGCCACTAAGTAGTTGTCTCTGCTAATACAGACAGAACAACTGAAGAAAGAAAAAAATGTCCAAGTGGGAAAAATCAATACGTTCAATAAAATAAGACACAACGTCTTCCAACAAATACAGTTTTTTTCCTCTACTCAAAACCTCATACTGAAAGGACTCATCTTTAGTAAATCACAAAGCTGTGTTTCTTGGGTTTAAATGACATAAAGGTTGCTGTTTAAGAGAGAAAATTCTCATGGACATTCCTCTTACTCCCAATTTCCAGTGGCCTCAGTTTAAGAAGCACTCATCTAAAATATTAAGTTCCGGGCGCCTGGGTGGCTCAGTTGGTTAAGCGACTGCCTTCGGCTCAGGTCATGATCCTGGAGTCCCGGGATCGAGTCCCGCATCGGGCTCCCT